AAAAAAAAAAAAAGCCAAAAAGGCACACAAATCCTGGGCCACTGTGATATACTTGGTGCCATCAAGAAAAAGTTGGGCCAGGCCAGGGATTTAGCTCATTGGTTCCACCACCTACCTCGCAAGTGCAAGGTTCTGAATTCGATCCCCGGTATCAAAAAAAAAAAAAAAAGAAAAGAAAAGAAAAGGAAAAGGAGATAGAAAGCCCACTCTCCCACACCCAATCTTGCTCATAGACACTGACAAGCAGTACTGTTGGCAATGGCCTATATCTGCTATCAATCAGCAGGGAAGACCTCAGACCTGGAAACTTCACGGCGTTCCAGATGACGACAGTGTTATCCACGCTGCATGAGGCTAGCCAGGCATCATGGGGAGACCATGCTACATCCATTACATCTAGAAGAAAGCAGGGGACTTGTGGTGAGTTCCCTCCACCCAGTACCCCAGTACTGGGGATTGAACCCAGGGGCTTTCATGCTGGGCTACATCCCCAGCCATCTGAAATTGTTTTGAGACTGGCTGGGCTCACACTTAAGCTCCTCCTGCCTCAGCCTCCCAAAGTTCTAGGATTACAGGCATGTGTCATCATGGCCCAGCACCAACACCTTTGTACTAGAACTGCAACCTGACACTTCCTGGGAGTGTGGCCTTAGGTCTGCTTCTCAACCTGCTAACATGCTTCTCCAGTCCTTCTGGCACTAAAATGAAACCCAATAGGGAAAGCAACAGAATATCAGGCACACAATCACATCAAGAGTTACTAACTACCTGAACAAATTTAGGCCTTGCTCCTGATCATGACCTGGATCTCACCTCCAACATGCTGTTAAGGAGGAACCCCTCCTTATGTAGTCCCAGACAGAATTAACCATCACACTATCATTTACTTCTTTTTTTTTTTTTTCTCCCGGTCCTGGGGATTGAACTTGGGACCTTGCACTTGTAAGGCAGGCGCCGGAACCACTGAGCTAAATCCCCAGCCCTCATTTACTTCTTTGTGATTCAGTTTTCTCATCTATTAAGTGTAAGGGCCAGGGATTTAGCTCAGTGGTTCTGCCATTCTGCCATCTGCCTCGTAAGCACAAGGTCCTGAGTTTGATCTCTGGTACCAAAAAAACTCCCAAAAAACAACCATCCATTAAGTGTGGACTAAAAAACCCTACCTTTATAGGGTTATTATAAGGATTAAATATGAGAAATTACCACTGAACAGTGCCAGGTACACACCAAAGATCAAAGGTCAGCTGTGAGATGAGTATGGTGGTGTACACCTGTAATTCCAGCACTGGTGGGTGGCTGAGGATTGAGGACCACAAGTTTTTTTTGTTGTTTTTTTTTGCACAGGGGATCGAACCCGGGACCTTGTACTTGTGAGGCAGGTGGCAGAACCATTGAGCTAAATGCCCAGAGGACCACAAGTTTGAGCCCAGCCTGGGCAATTTAGCAACTTAGTGAGATCTTGTCTCAAAATAAAATAAAAAGGGATGAAGATGTAGCTTAGTTTGAAGGCCCTAGTTTCAATCCCAGTATTGAGGGGAAATGTCAGCAATGAGGACTATAACTTTTCCCTTTCTGATTAATATACTGTGTATCTTTTTATAAGTAATAATTTTACTTGATTATTAGTGAAAGTGAAGTTTTTTCATGGTTTATTATCTATAATAGTTTTGGGGATGAATTTGCTCACAACTTACAATTAATGGGAGGTTTTTCTGTGTACTGCACATAACAAACATGAATGCATCTATGAAAATGTAGAAAACAATTACTTTTTCTAGGACCTTAGAGTCCCACAGAGGCAGGTGTGTAAACATGTAGTACCTAAGTCCTAGAGCACAGATGTGATCAGAAAGGAACTCAAGGAGATGTGATTTTCTTAGGGATTTCCAGAGACTACTTACAATTCAGACATTAGCTGCAAACCTCACCTTCCTTACAAGTTTTATATAGTAAAGTCAGTTATTCTTTGTGATTTCTTCTGTTGCCTGTTAACCTTGAATAATGTTCTAAGCTGATCATGGTGGTGCATATCTGTAATCCGAGCCCTGAGAGAGGCTGAGGCAGCAGGATCACAAGTCCAAGTCCTACCAGGGCAACTTAGTGAGATCTTGTCTCAAAATAAAAAAAATTTTTTTTAAAAAAAGGCTGGGGGGCCAGGGGTTTAGCTCAGTGGTTGCGGCGCCTGCCTTTCAATCACAAGGTCCCAAGTTCGATCCCCAGTACCAAAAAAAAAAAAAAAA